GCCTAAGCCTAAGCCTAAGCCTAAGCCTAAGCCTAAGCCTAAGCCTAAGCCTAAGCCTAAGCCTAAGCCTAAGCCTAAGCCTAAGCCTAAGCCTAAGCCTAAGCCCAAGCCTAAGCCTAAGCCTAAGCCTAAGCCTAAGCCTAAGCCTAAGCCTAAGCCTAAGCCTAAGCCTAAGCTTCCAAGCCTAAGCTCCAAGCCTAAGCCTAAGCCTAAGCCTAAGCCTAAGCCTAAGCCTAAGCCTAAGCCTAAGCCTAAGCCTAAGCCTAAGCCTAAGCCTAAGCCTAAGCCCAAGCCTAAGCCTAAGCCCAGCCTAAGCCCAAGCCCAGCCTAAGCCTAAGCCTAAGCCTGCCTAAGCCTAAGCTTAAGCCTAGCCTAAGCCTAAGCCACAAGCCTAAGCTCTAAGCCTAAGCCTAAGCTAAGCCTAAGCCTAAGCCTAAGCCTAAGCCTAAGCCTAAGCCTAAGCCTAAGCCTAAGCCTAAGCCTAAGCCTAAGCCTAAGCCTAAGCCTAAGCCTAAGCCTAAGCCTAAGCCTAAGCCTAAGCCTAAGCCTAAGCCTAAGCCTAAGCCTAAGCCTAAGCCTAAGCCTAAGCCTAAATCTTAACAACGTCGGAAATATTATTCAAGCATTAATACCCGGAAATTCAAAAGTTAGGGCCAATTTGATATTTATAGCTGCCCGTTTAGTTCACAATAATTTTCAGGTAATGCTGGCAGAACGGGCGCAAGCCTTCGCGTGTCATCGGTACCGCGTTGAAGAACCCCAGCGCCTATCAAGCATAGTAAGTCATTAAAATATTTGACGTTGTGTAACGAAAGATTAGAAAAAACTAAGAGATTCAAAATCTAGGAATCATAGCCAAGACACTGGTGGAGATTGGGTCCGGACTGTTAGTGTTACAATTAGTGTTAGTCACTTTCTTTAACTAACTTTTTAGTTGTTCCTTAATAAAATCTCGCTATGTTTAATAGTGCTAGTCGTTTCCGAGGAATAAAAAGTTTTCAAATCTTCTTTTTAAACTATAAACTAGTTTACTCTTGGTATGTTTTCGGCCGTTGCCAGAGATCTTAGTCAAATGTCACATTTTTTCGAATATAAAAAGGGTTTTGGGACTGTGCAACTTTAGATAACTTTAGCGGTCTGAGTTATTATGAAAGTCCGTCTTATAAGCGATAAAAGGATTTTTTAGTATCTTCAGATGATATTATTTAGGATAATAGGTTCAGAGAAATGCCGCTTCGGGACTCTCCTAGTGTTGGGAAATTAGCTCGGCTCGGTTCCACGGCTCGAAAAAACCGAGCGGCTCGGTTTTACGGCGTAGCATCCACAACTAATCCTGTTTCTTTTATAACTTTGGTATAATACATTCTTTTAAACTGAAATTTGGACATTTAGTAGGTTTTTTGCTGCTCTATCGAATCGCGATGTCGAAATGTCGAAAAATTCGGCAATAATGTGAAAAAAAGCCTAAAAACCACTTTTTAAACAGTTTTGTTAGTTTTAGCTGTAACTATTTGGTATTAGGTTCAGTTGTGATGAAATTCATATTATTTGTACAGTTTGTGCTGCTCTGTCGAATGGTATCAAAGGTTCGCCGAAAACATAATGCAACCATCGAAAGAATCTTCTCTTGGGCTGCGGCGCCAGGTTGAGCATCTTGCTGCTTGCGGAAGCTTCTGCCTGTCTAAGCGGCGGCGCGAGTTTGAAAGGTTAGCTTTATTCCCCGCCTAGCTTCGCTCTAAAGCCTGCGGCGCAAAATTCAGCGGCCTTCTTCTTTCCGAAGCTTGCTGCGCTAGTTTGACAGGTTCCGCCTAGAAGCTTGCGGCGCTAGCTTGTAATGGTAGCTTTCTTTAGCCTAGCTGGAGACGCTAGCTTCGACTCCAAGCCTGCGGCGCAAGCTTGTGAGGCTAGCTTCATACTTAAGCCTTCGGTGCAGGCTGGAGCGGCTAGTTCTGTCTCTAGGTTTGCGGCGCAAACTTCAGATCGCAGCTTCCATCATAAGCCTCCCGCGCTAGCTTGATCGGCTAACTTTCTTCCTAAGCCTGCGACGCTAGCTTCAGGGGCCGGCCTGGTTGAGGTGGCGTGGTGTGTGGCGCTAGTTGAAAGGCTATCGTCGTTCTAAAGCCCGGGGCGCCAGCCTGAACTGCTAGCTTGATTCTTAGCCCTGAGGCGCAGTTTTCAGCGACCAAGTTCAATCAATACTTTTTAGTGATAATTATAATTAGTTCATAATAAAATTATCATTATTTTCGAAAATTTTGGATGTTTTGGTCAAAAAAGAATGAAAAATGGCGAAAAAAGGTCAACAGTTTCGATTTTTCAAAAATTTCTAAAAGGTTTTTTTATAACTTTCGAGAAACCTGATTCATACTAAAAATCAACTCGTTATTATCAACACATAGCGGCGGAAAAATAAAAATTAGCTCCCCTCCCGTTAACCCCGCCGCCCCCCCGTTAAAGGCAAAGCACCATCCCCTCAACCTAACAGTCCAGTACCCCTATGTGTTCCGATTTCTGAGTAATTATAAGGGGCCCAATTATTAAATGGTGTTTTTGTAGGGGATTCCGTCGCTGGCCACCCAGAATTCCTCCATGGGTCTTTTAACGACGTGGCGTGGGTTTTTTTCTGGAGGATTGATCGGTGGGGTGCCCCGGGGACGAAGGCAGAAGAGGCTCTCCAAAAAGAGAGCAGGAAAAGAGGGTAGAATGGGGCACCACAGAGGGCCCACAGCTCTTTTCTAGGAGGGGCCCTCGCCTCATTCACACCACACTCATTCCCTAAGGCTTACAACCCACCCGGTATCCGATTTTCCTTCAGCTTCAGTCTCGGAACCAAACAGTTTTGTCGAGGGGGCTTTGCATGGAGGAAGACGCTATTTGCTGGTACACCGGGTATTATGCTTTAATTATTAGTGTTTGTTATCAGAATTTGGAGAGAAATTTAAGTAGCTTTGCCTTCTCTCTCTCCCTCTCTCTTTCTCTCTCTCTGTCTCGCTTTCCTCTCTCTCTCTCTCCTCTCTCTCCTCTCTCCTCTCTCTCTCTCTCTCTCTCTCTCTCTCTCTCTCTCTCGCTCTCTCTTTCTCTTTCTGTCTCGCTCTCTCTCCATCTCTCTCCCCCTCTTCTCTCCAACTTCCAACACCAGTAAAAAATTGGTTTTCATCAGGAAAGATAACTTGCCTTATTTTACTAGCATATTCTCTCTGTAGACAGCTTCCTCCTGTCCTTACCCTCGTTTTTCCGACATATTCCAGCTGGCTCCGCCCTCCTCTACCCCAACGGCTTCTCCTCGATCGATTTCCCCTTTTTTTCAGAATCCTCTCCGCTAGTCCAAAAATAAAGCGGTAATTTTCGGCACCTGTCCGTCAAATGTTTGGAAATGTATGTGATTTTGAGAAAAGTTCTAAGAAATGGGTCAAACTTCAAGAGGACATATCTCGGCCATCCAGTGTCCAATTTTGATGATCTCAACATCTATTGATAGCTACTCCTCGAGAGCTATCGAACGGCGTTAAAGGTACCACATGCAAATGTCTCTATGCAGAGATAACTTGTAAAAACACTTTCTCGTAATTTTTGAAAAATCTTCTTGGGCCTGTATCTCGGCCGTGCTTGATTTTGAGGACCCAGGACCCTTCTCCCGGAACCATTCAGGCCGAGAGCTACAAAATGACATATCGGATGTGCAGAATGGAGCTATCTACGAATTTAGCCAGCCTTCCAAAATCTCGGCGATAGAACTTTCGTTCCAACCTGATAGAAGCCGAGATCTAGGGGGAAGCGGGGCAATTCCCGGGCACCCACCTGGCAGCAAGACCTTTGGATTTCCCATTGCGCTCTCTGCACCCCGTATTCTCTGGATATCCAACGATCACTCGCTGCCCCCATGGCCAATACCCCCTTCGGCCGCTCTCTCTATCTCCTTCTCTCTCCCTCAATCTCTCTCTCTCTCTCTCTCTCTCTCTCTCTCTCTCTCTCCGGTGCTACTGCACTTGGGGGGGGCAGTCCGGATTTTGACTACAAGACGCTCCAAATCTCGTTTTGTTAAGCTGGAGGCCTCTGGGAAAGCTCAGCTAATCTCAAGCCTATGCTTAGCTTCATAAAAGCGAAGCCTGAGCCAGGCGTAAGCTAAGCTAACAAGCTTGTAAGCTTATTATAACCCGCTTTTGACCTTGTAAGACAATTTCAAGCTGAAGATAAGCTTAGCTTCGGGATAGTTAAAGCGAAGATAAGCCAAGGCTTAAGCTGAAAACCAAGTAGAAAGATCTAATCCGTTACATATCTGCCGACCCCAGAACGAAGTATACCAGTCCGGGACTGGTCCTAAGTTTCCCGGGAATTCTAATTTTTCACATGTAAATCATGATTTCCGGAAGTGCTGTATCTCTGTCCACCTCGTAAACCATCAAAATTAAAAGTTTCAAACAAACGTAGCTAAACCAGGGCCTCCCGGGTTACATACGAAACTGTTTTCGGGACGATTTTTGGTGACACGATTCGCTGCGATCAAAGTAAGCGACGATTCGAAGCGCCTGGAAGCGCTGATTCCGGGGTGCTGATTGGCTCGGCCGTCACATCGCCCTCCTTCACGCAATAGCAGCTCGTACACCCACATGCTCAATTCAGAGCGAATTGGCGCTTCGGCGCCTTCCGGACGCTATTCCGGGGCACGGGAATTGACAATCCCGATGATCTATACAGGGTGTCCCAAAAAAAACGACCCATCTGGCATTTCGCCGTGTTACATCCAACCGGACCCAAATTTGGACCAGAGGTGTATCAGACCCTAAATAACAACAATCCTGACTTTTAGCCCCGTAGCTACAGTCGTTCTCGAGTTATAACGAAAATACTGTTTTTGACGCAATTCTAAACAGTTTTTTCGGCTATCTTTTTGGACTTTGCATCGATTTGCATCGACATCCGGCTGCGAATCCCTAATTTCGCTTAAGAACTTGGGTAATTTTGCGTAGTAAAAATAGCTTGAATCGAAGCTTATTTAATTAATTTTGCTCTGGAAAAAATTTCTTAAGGTAAAGAAGGGCCACCGGATCATTTTCACTTAATGTTTAGGGGGTCTAATTCCACGAAAACCCTATGAAAAATGGAAAATAAAGTTTATTTTTGCCATAACTCGAGAACTACTATAGCTACGGGGCTATCAGTCAGGATTGTTGTTATTTAGGGTATGATACACCCCTGGTCCAAATTTGGGGCCGATTGGGTGTAATACGGCGAAATGCCAGATGGGTCGTTTTTTTTGGGACACCCTGTACACCATTCGAAAGCCTGGAAAATGCTACAAGATGAGTCGTAGGGCGAATCTCTGCAAAGTGCACACTTTTCACGAAACCTCCTAGAAATTGAGATTTTGAAAATTTTTCACTGAGTCAATAATTATGTCCAGCAGTGTACATCATAATACACAGACACACAACTGCACCTTGTTACAGAGTCTCAAATCTTGTTGTCGGGTATCGTCGTGATGATACTGCTGGCATTAGTGTGGTGTAGGGTTGTTTCTCGGAACAGGCCGAGATTCGGAACATTCGGAACAGCAACCGTTCCGACTGTTCCGAATGTCGGAACGTTCGAGATTCGCGTGTTCCGGCTGTTCCGAGATTCGGAACATTCCGAGATTCAAATATTGCGGTTGTTCCGAGATTCATAGTGTTCCGACTGTTCCGAGATTCGGAACGTTCCGAGATTTGGCTGTTCCGACTGTTCCGAGATTCGGAACAGTCCGAGATTCGGCTGCTCCGAGATTCAAATTTTTTCGCATGTAAATTTCCAAACACGACTGAATTTCGATTCGATTCGATCCCCCAATTCGTTCTCATTTCCTTAATTTCCAGATTCAATATCTAACCATCGACGGAATTAAGTGTTCAGTTGCGCCCACACTGCCGTGTCACGGCAAAATCGAAACAGTTACATGCAATCTACACAATTTACACGAAATCGAAATTTACATGCGAAAAAATTTGAATCTCGGAACAGCTCAATCTCGGACTGTTCCGAATCTCGGAACAGTCGGAACAGCCAAATCTCGGAACGTTCCGAATCTCGGAACAGCCGGAACACTATGAATCTCGGAACAACCGCAATATTTGAATCTCGGAATGTTCCGAATCTCGGAACAGCCGGAACACGCGAATCTCGGAACGTTCCGACCAGTCTTTGTTCCGAAAGTTCCGAATCTCGGTCTGTTCCGAGAAACAACCCTAGTGTGGTGAAATATTTGCGTAGGTGCGAGTTGCGGGGTCAACCAGGCATATTGTGCCAGTTTCCTGCATTAACGTCGGATATCATCTGATCGGCTACCGGCAACGACCAACTCATTACATGATTGCTTTCTATGATTTTTGGCAACCCCTCGTTGTAAATTTTGAACATTTTTGAAAAAGTAGAAAACCTTGAAGTGAAAAAATGGAACTTTTGCTGAGCTAGGGGGACATGTAGGGTGTAAAAATGAAGCTCACGAAGTCCGCTATTAGACCAGTGGCAACCAATATTGAGCGGTTTAACTAGCCGTAAACAGAAGCGTTAGGAAAATTTTAAAACGATGGTGTTACTATATCAGCAGCTGAAAGTCGATCGATTCGTCTTGTCGAGCTCTATCAGTATGTGCAAATCGATGACGACTCGTAATTCGATGGCGAGCTGTGACCATTCCTTGTTAGGTTTTGGCATAGCCAGTGATTTTCTGACAATGAACTATTCATAACAATTTTTGTCAATTATTGATTTATTTGAGATCAGGGAGAATGGGACCATAGGCTTTTGAGCAGTAAGGCGGTGAGGCCCATAACAACTACCATGGATATCACGACGTGTAGCAACAGCAGAAATAACGGACAAGTGCTTTTCTAAAAAGGTTCAATTGATAATGGGGGAAAAGGGGCTCAAAAGGGAGTGTTTTGGTTTACTTCATCAAAAAGAGGAGAATTCAAGATTCTTGTGTATTCCGGGGGGAAGAATTTTAAAAGAAGAGAAACCAACTTTTTTCCTGTCGGCCCTGGTGGCGGGTAGTAATCAAATAGAAGTGTTTTCACATTGTTTTTAGCAAAATTTAAGCCTATTTGAATCGGAAAAACGCTTTAAAAAGTTAGAAAAACGCTTGCAAAAATCGAAAATTTAGTCATTTTTGGGCCGAAAAAAAATAATTTTTCGATCTAAAATTACATTTTTTTATTAAATTTTGTAAAGTTTTTATGCTTAGGAATAGCTATAACCGATTAAGGCCTGCTGTGAATGTGCTGAATTTTGGTTGCGGGCAGGAACCATGTTGTTTTGGAGAAGTTTTATTTGAATTCTCCTCTTTTTGATGAAGTAAACCAAAACACTACCCTTTTGAGATCACATTCTCTTTTGCCTGAGAGATATTTCCTGGGGGTTTGTTGGGGCAGTAATCCCTTCGTTTTCTAACGGGTTGGTCTTATCCCCCGCAAAGACAAATGACTTCCTAGCTCCTCTAATGGTAAGACACCTACCGTGGGTTTTGAGGCCGGTATCACGGTAGCTGGCCCATTGACTATCGACAATGCCATACCTGAGTGGCCGACGACAAAACGGTGGCTACTTTCGGCTTCTAAATGATGGCACGTGACTATCGCTTTCAAGACCCGCCGGCTTTTTCTTGGCGCGCCTCATGGCTCGTCGTTACTATCTGGAGTGCGATGTTGATGGCAACGAAGAACAGTAGATAGGAACACTAAAACGTAACTTTCAAAGCGACGCCTAGGAAATGCCAGCTAAGAAACCAGGGGCCTAGCTGACCATAAGTTTTCTGGGCAGCAGCGACATTTCGGAGGGGGCAGCGTGAAAAAGTTTCCGAAAATGGAGCACCGTAGACAAAAAAAATTCGTTAAAGGGAAATCGCAAGGCAGAAAGCTAACTTAAGTGATACTTGGACTCCTGGAACCGACACCAAAAAGGCCCTTGCCCGCCCAAAAGATAGCCTGACAAAGACAGCCATAGTGAGGGCGCGCGTTATCACATCTGCGAGCCTCGAATCCTCTCATTAGTGCGCTGATTTGCTGATTAGCGCTGGCAAGGCAAATAAGCGCACAACCGCCCAAATCTGGCAAAGTTCCTGGAATCCACTTAAAACGTGGACTGCTGCTTGCGTTATCCCTTTAAAATAAGCCCACCGACGGCAAAAATTGAGTCGAAACTATCGATTTTCGATTCTCGACAGCTCAGCATTTTCGATTTAACAAAATTTACGAACGAAAAGACATGCGGGGAGCAGCGTGCCCCCACCCATGCCGATCTCTCCTATGCGCCTTTAAGAAACATTAGGAATTGGACATGAGTATTTACCATTATGTAAAAAGGAATTGGCCCATATGTCGCGTAGAGCCCAGTCTTGCCGAGCGGTACAGACAGCAGAATCGTTAAACCTGCAATCATATAATTTGTGAAGCATAGTAGAAGTCGTCCCTGTGGCTCTTGAAAAGTATTCTTTCAAACCCTTGCTTTTGTGCAGTAAATTCTAGACCATTACGCAAGGACGCGAGCCATTCACACCTCAATTTCCCTTGTAAGCTTAACTTCCAGTGCCAAGCGGGTTTTGACTGCCGGATCCTACTATATATAAAAAAATAGTGTCTGTGTGTGCCACTTTGCATCCACTTCCGTCCGTCTGTCCGGAGGATATCTCGCTAGGGGATGAATTTTAAGGTATGTATGATACGTCATTAGGTGCGTAACGGCCTGGAGATGACTGCACGCATAATAGATTCAACAAAATCAACTATTTTCGACATTAAATTCAAGTTTTTGTGAAAAATTCTTTGTTAGGAATAATTAGCATAGCCCAGAAGTTGGGATTCGCCTATACAAATGTAATGGAGAGGTTGTCTTTTCATTTTTTTTTTGTCATCAGAATTTAGGACAATTATGCAAATTGAAAGATAAAATGGGGTCAAACGGAGCCAGGGTTGAAAAGTCGCGAAGCGGCTTTTCAACCCTGGTTAATAATGAAAAAAATACTCGCACATCCCCATCCGCCCAGTCCAAGCCCCCAGTGCAACCAATTGAAGAATGGACGAGTGCTGAAATGGCAACGCATTGGAGTATCGAAATTTCCGTGTAAAGCTGCTTACCTGGAATCTGGGGCTGGTCGGCCGAGTGCGATCATTGGATTCAGTATGGCCAACACCGTCGCCAGACCACCGATCATCGCGTGCATTTTCTTGGCGAGAGCCTGGGCAAAGGCAAAAAAATTTATCTTATCCACTTTTACAAGTTCTTAACCCCGGGCACAATTCTGGAATTCCGGAAGCTTATTTTCTATCTATGGAATTCCAACCGGTATAGGGAATCCAGCCCGAGTTTCGTTAACCAGGAAATTATCGTGAGCTTCCCGTGGTGACTTGCTGGTTCCCTGACTGCAGATCGCATTCATAGCTACACTCGTACCACACCCAGCCACTCTGATAGAAGATAAGCAAGACAGCAATCAATTGCAAGCATAGAGAAATGATGTTTAAGCCGCGGTGGAGCTGAAATAACGTTTTCTCCAACCTTTCT